CTAGCGCAGATAGCCCTCGTGTAGCTTTGCGCGAAATTCAAAAATAAATAAAATAATCTATATCATTGGTTTCATCATCATTTGACATATTTTTACAACCAAATGTTTTCTAATTGCTGTTCTTTTATCTGCTCCAACCCAGTAAAGCCGCAACAATGAGTCTTCTCTTTATTGATTCAGTTCCTAGTCTACTTTGATAAGTGGTGACATTCCTAAGTTGACTAGTTTATGAAATAAGTTGCCTGATACTTGCACTCTTTTACTTTCTCCATTTAAGTTTTCCTTACGGGCAGTCAATTGCAATCATAAAAGTATTTTGGGCCCCCCAGTGGCACAGCGGTATGTCTGCGGACTTACAACGCTAGAAACCGGGTTTCGATACCCGTGTTGGGCAGAGCACAGATAGCCCATTGTGTATCATCGTGCTTAACTTCAAACAAACAAAGTATTTTGGAAAAGGCATAACGAAACTAAAAATGCAAGAAGTGTCTAAATGAGTCATTAATAGCACTTTAAAGTATTTATGTCTGGCTTGTAATTTCCTGTTGTTCACAGAGCCGATGATGTTTTGACATATGTATGACTTTTTGGTCTTCTTCAAAATGTATTATTCATTACAATCATTACGATATATTGTTACGTATTACAATTTCGAATGGTCTGAAATCTAGTCAAATGATAATTTAAATTTAATGGTTAAATAAATGCCGCTATATCTCCAATTTATGATATTTGCCAACAAGATTGATACACAGTTTTCGTTTTTAAAACAAATATGTTTTAATATACAGACAACAATGCAATTTACAATAACAGTTATTACAAACATTTATTACAAATAATGATTGCAAAAGTTTTACAAACTTACAAGCAATATAAAGTCTTCTTTCTAGCCTGGAACTTCCTTGATATCTTATCGAGGGTTCACGATGAGCGAGTTAATTTCGAGTTGATATAGGTACAATTCACTTAACAGGGAGCTAGCTAGCCCTGAAGTTCTCGCTGATGACACATCGATTACAGGTCGAGTTTCCACCGATGACGTTAGGTAATGTTTTCGTAAAAGTGCTAATGTCCGATGTGAATCCACTGAAGTTAAATGGTCGAAATTTATAAACGTTCCTGGTCAAATATAAATTTTCCCGATTAATAAGCGTTAATCACAGTTATAGCTTACGACATTTATAGCAAATCGGTCTTTGCACGTCACCTCTTGAGAAAATAAAAATTTAAACATGCCTTTTATTTTTCAGAGAATAATTGGTTCCACTATTAACTCTTGTGAAAACCCATCTCCAATACTACCAATAGCAAATCATTCCATAAACCATTTACCCTGTTAGATGAATAAAATTGTTTTTTGTTGTTGTTTTCAAATCTTAAACTTGTATCTTCTCATCCGATTATATTCATAATACACAACAAAGAAATCAGCGGCCTTTATCCTTTGGATCATTTTGAAAACCTCAATGATATCACCTCTTTTCCTTCTTTTCTCAAGAGAAAATAAGCTATATTTACCTCTCCCTAAAAGATGGACTTTCTATTCCTGGAATAATCCTAGTAGCTCTTCTCTGGGCTCTTTCCAATAACAAATAATCTTTCTCAGAAAAGAAAACCAAAACTGCAAACAGTATTCCAAGTGAGATCTAACTAATGAATTTTAAGACCAGTAACCAGATTTGCTCTGGATATTTTTAGTTTACTAGTGCACCTGATAGCATTAACAGCCTGTCGTCTCTTTTGAGCTTTTGGCTGATTACTTGACATAGTTGGCGGACATGCTGATTTCTTTAATTTGTAACATGTTTTTAATTTGAAATTATGTTTCCTAATGTAATTAGCTGATGCTATTATAACTGTTCCTTTTTGGTCATTGTATTTTATATTATGATATAATTTTGTTTACTTATAATTATATAGTGTGATTCTGATGTGATGTATTTTGGGATTTAATTTTGGATTTGTATCATGCTTTTGATTTGTTTTAGTTTAATGTCCTCCCAGTGGCTCAGCGGTTAGGCTGAAGGTTAAACAATGCTAAAAACCTGGTTTCAATGCTCGTGGTGGGCACAGCACAGTTAGCCCATTGTATAGCTTTGTGCTTAACAACGAACAAACAAACAATAATTTCACGTATTCTGGGGTTCTGTTTGAGTAGTATTTGAGTTTTGATATTCTGGCTGGCTGTTGAAGTTTTATGTTAACCTTTCTTGTCTGTGTGTAGGTGTTGTGGGTTCGCGTGATTCAGCTAAGAAAAACTATTACCACCATCCTGCAACCTGTTGTAAATTTTCTAATTCGATCATTAATGGTAATTTTAAAGTTCTGACCGGGGTGCCCCTAAAATAAGGAAAGGTGTATGTGTGTGAGAGAGAAGGCATTATAGTGACTGCTTTGGTCATGAATTTCACTCTTCCGTAACTAGTATAGAAAATAGCTTCATTCTGGTATGTTCCTGTAATATATATTTTTCTAAATTTCCACGCAGTTTCTTATATAATTATGACATTTTTCTTGACCAAATGCCTACAGCTTGTATTTTTTTTTTTAATTCCAGATAGTAAGCTCAAAACCCAAAAGCATCACATCTAAGTAATAAACAATTAAAAAGAATAAAACTACAAGGCGAGAACGGTAAAATGTATCCTAATAAAGAAAAGTGTCTCCGACCTAGAACTCACATATCATGAACCACGATAATAGTTCATAATAGGAATCGCAAGGAATTGCACAAAACCCTAATAGAACGTTCGGGCAAAAAGCACCACAGTACAGTTTCAGTCCAAATGACACTTTAAAAGCATTATTTTTGACTGCCAAGGCTATACACATATAAAAAATGGACAAAAAAAGCAAGCATGTTAGACTTACAAGGAAAAGAAAATTCCCTCTAAACGGCTCGTTTGTAATTATTATTATTATGTTTCTCCTGCCAGCCTGAAACGAAAACGGCTTGGTATATTGCACCCAAACCTTCTACAGAATACTAAATAAGAAATTGTGAATATCGTGGGGGTATTGAAAAGTCGATTGGTTTCTTCTATATTTTACATAAGCTAAAAACTTAATAATTCTTGTGTAAGCCATGTTATAATTACCCCTATATATCTGGTGTTCCTTTAAAAAACGCTTAAGTACAGGGTGAAACAGGAATTACAAGCCGATAATAGATGAACATTAGATAACTGTAACATGTAGATACTCAATGCTTTGTACACTAAACAATCGGTGTCTTTAGGGAGCCACCCCTATATTATGTTTGAAGTGAAGGATTAAAAAAGAATCAATACACATAATATTAAATCATATTACGCACATTCGTGAAATCATTACTTTAAAAGACACGAAAGTTTATTTAAACTGATGTTTTAGACGTATATGTTTTATTTGAAAAGGCTACTTTTCTGCTAGCAAAATGTTATATGTGCTTAGTGGGGGTTGTGTGTTAGCCCAGATATATATTTACCCATTCCTGTGCACTATGTATGGAGAATTTAGTTTCATGGAAACTATAAATGCTCACTATATCCTCAAACAAATCTCCATGACAATCTCTAGCTGCAGTTTAACATTTTACCCCTCGAACTAATGCGATCAAATTGTCATTAATTTCAGTAAATCATCATGAACGGTATCAGTTAGCCGATAGCTATGGTTAGTATCATTACAATGTATAACGTTAGCTACCATATCAAGTAATCATTTGCTCATAGTTGAGCATAAAATAGCCAACAAAAAAGATAAGTAAAAAATTGGGAATTTAAAATCTGCAAATAGGGCTTAGAGTACCCGTTAAGGAAGCAAACTTGTATAAATGACAATGTTAGATAATATTTCTATTACTTCTTTCTGTTTTTAAATCCCCATTGACCTCTTTAAATGCTAATTTCATACCCTGCTTTGTGGAAGATGATAATTGACTCATTTAACTGGTTAAGTACATTAAATTTAAAGTCAAAATATATGAAAGAAGAGGAAAATGTGCCATATTTCAGGGTGTTTTGTCCTCCCTTCTTTGAAAAAGTCCTAAAACAAAATAGCCCGTTTATACTTTCGAACAATTTCTAATTATCGTACAAAAACTTATAGTAATAAAGCTAGCCAACTCTGGATGATGCAAGCCAAAAATTTTTGTTTTAAGTATAAATGTGCCCTATTTTAGGGTATTTTTCATCCCCCTTCTCGGGGAAAAATCCTAAAAACAAATAACACATTAAAGTATTGGACAATTTCCAGTTACCATACCAAAATGGCGGCAATCGAGCCAGCCAATTGTGGGTGATGGATGCTAACACACACAGGCATGTACTTAATGGATCATCTTTATAGTAGGAAGATGGGTAATTTCACTTTTTTTGTTGTTGTTAGTTCTTTTCAATGAATGTTGTAACAAACAAAAAAGTATAAAATTACTCAATATGATGCAATGTGCAAATCCCACCAGCAGTGAACCGTTTAGACAGAAGCTGATAGTTTAAGGGTTAATACTTCATTTCGGGTAGAACAATAAAAATAGTAATGCAATGTCTTAGATATTTCAGATAAGATGAGATTCGGTACAAGAACTGGTACGATTGCCAGTAAAACAAATAGGAAGAGCGATGCTAATGTTAAATTTTAATGATCTAAACCGCAATTTTAGAAATTCGGTCTGAAAACTCAATACTGAGTCTATTATTAAATTGATTGCACATGAAGCAGAGACATACAATCACAACATAACAACCTACAATCCAAAAGGCATTATTTTTAGTGAGCTTTACTTAAATCGTTTAGCAATACTTTGTATAAAAAGTTGTAAAATTCAAGATGCTGTAAAAAGCTAATGCAGTTGGAACTATTCATTTTGCTCCAATTGTAAGCACTTTATAATCTCTACGATTTTCCAGGCAAAACAACATGAACAAATACAGACATTTAGTTTTCAAGACGTCCTTTTATTTACATTACCACAATCAGATGATGGAAATAAATACATTATAGTAGTAAAGGAATTCTTTAATCAGTTTGTTCAAAAATGTGTATTTTCCATAAAATTTAATTTTAATCTGGACTTCTGTTCTTCAAATTAACGTTTATCATTACAAAACAGCGTACCATATTAATATTTCTGCAATCAAAGGTGAAGTTTGGTATTAGTTCTATTTTTTGTAAAAAAAATATTTAAAATTTAAGAAGAAAAAAACCAGGACACTAACCCTAAATCCTTCTTTCTACAGACAAGTAAAATTATACAACTGTATAGTGTAAAATTCATTAAGCATAAATCCACAAGAAAAACAGAAGACGTGGTATGAAGTCATGACACCCTAGTTATCGTATTACAGAGTTGCGACACAAGAAACTACAAGAACTTTATGTTTTATTCGGTTTTGAAAGTATCAATGGACTTTCATTATATTCGATCTGAGGATAAGGATGAGTTTTAGATATGCATCTGAGACATCATTAACAGTTTTATGGTTTTTCTAATGGGTGGGAGTAAAGAAGCCAATTTTAATTTGCTATAATTTCACTACAGACAAGTTTGAGTTTAGTGTGATAATATAATATTGATATAAAACTCAACGAGAAAGATAGGTATTTTTCCAAACTTGAATCAATGCTAAGAAAGTAAGTTTGAAAAACTAAAGAATATCACTATGAGGTATACTATATTTCCTGGGGAAAACACACTAAGCAAATATGTATATTAAAAATTGGGGGAATGTATCCTATTTCAGGGTGTTTTTGTCCCCCCCCCTTTTTTTGGTGAAAAAAAACATGTAAAACAAATTAGCCCATTTACACCGACGGACAGTTTCTAAATGTTTCTACTGTCCGAGAAGCATTAGGTTCAGTGAAATTTATTTAAATTGTCTGACAATACTTTATATACAAAGATGTAAAATTCAAGAGACCCTAAAAACTAATACAGTTGGAAGTACCGCTCTTTAATACATCATTCCAAGTAAAACTATACAAGTGTTGATTCAATCTCTTGAAGAATTTAAATAACATGAATAGATAATAGAACTGGCGTGACTGCCAGTAAACCAAATAGGATGGGCTGTACTAATGCTAATTTTGAGTTAACTAAAGCACAGTTTTAGGAGTTCGGTATGAAAACACAATACTGATCTATCATTAAAATGGCTTGGCACTAGAAACCTTAGCTGGTACACAGATTTTCAGCTCTTTATATCTAGTATTAAGTTATTTACAAACGAGAGTACACAGCATTTACCATTAACAGTGATTTATACATATTTAAGGTAATGTTCTTCACACTGCATGGTGGTTCTGCTACCTTTGAACACCTGATCCAGTTTACTTTACAGAGACGTCTGAGAAAAATTTGTTTGAATTGCACAGATTATATGTTAGTGTTTGGAAAACTCTGAAAGCATAAAATTTGTTTTGGAAATATATATAAAAAAACTAGATTAGTGATGGAGTCTAAAACAGTGTGCCTTAATGCAGTTTCTTAGTAAAAGTAATTCATAGAGATAGAGAATGGGGCAGTGAAACCCCAAGATAATGATGATGACTTAGCCAGTCAGCCCATACATGAGCAGAATACAAGTCCAGTTAACAAAAGATGTTAAAAGATAAATTACCAGAAGAAAATATGAGAAGAAGGAACGTTATCCAAGGAAGTCACATGACAAGAGTGATGCATAAGTCAAACTTTTAAAGAAATTAAATACGGAATTAAATATCACACATTTTATTCTTCTCACATATTAATTTTCATACATTTTATCGCACACACTTGTTTCCTGCATTTTGTCTGATTTATTATCATCATTTGTACTGTATCATAATATATTTGTATCTATTCCCCTTATCTTTATTAACAAATAACGTGACTTCTGCTACTTACATTACTTTAACTTCCTTTCAATTATTAGAGCCATTATTCTACATGCTATAGTACAAGCCCTTATTATTCACTCTAATTTATAAGTATCATGTATTCAGTCTCTAATTCTAATATCATTTGTTTCTTTATTGTATAAGTTAATCTTCTCGTATTCATTAGTTCATTTCCGATGTGTTAATATAATATCATCCATTTCATCGTTTACAGAAATTTAATTTATTAATAACCAAACTAATATATATATATATATATATATATAAGCGATTTCATTTCCTACACTAGATTTCTGAACTATTTTCTATTTATATGCATCATGTATTCACTCTTTTTATTTATTTCGAGTTTTATACATTATTCATTCATTCTATCGGTTACATTATCTTCATGCATTTTATCTGTAACATTAATTTTGCATCGTGCACTAAATTTCAGGATTTGTTTACAGTAATTTTGTGTTTTTTGTATCTTACACTTATGTAGTATTCAACTTTATATTCTTGTCTCTTGAGCCATTTTTCACTATATTGTCGCATGTTTCATATTTTTCAGTTTTATGACATTTCTAATTTAGTTATGCAATCACAATTATCTGCTGTTTCTCTATATAAATCCACAAAAAAGACAGATGTATAGTAATACTGGAGCGAACCAGAGCTCCGTTTCGGTACCTTAAATTGAAGATGAGTCCCGACATTTCAAAAATTAAAAGTATGTATAGAATCTATTCAATTTATGCCCGAAATTAACTAGCAGAATGACAGATAGCACGCTGGCTGTTTGTAATCACCCAGTGACGACTAGTAGAGTTCTTTCAGATTGCCCATCACACATTCTATCACTCTTCCTCAGGGGCTGGCATCAGGCATCTTGCGACCGTTTTGACTGAAAAAACATGAGTCAGAGCGTTAAATTTCTGATATGTTTTTGCCATACGGCACGTGGCTATTAACTCACACGGATATGGTATTGAAATACTTAATAGAATACATTTTGCAATTATACTGTATGATTTAAACGCAAACCTTTTCAAAAGACTAATTATTTACATAATATGCAACGTAGGTCGCTTTTCTGTTATTCGTGTTGGCAGGACAGGAGGTGATTAAAGCATTATAAAAGTCAAAATTATTAATACGGTAATTCAATTACAAATATAGTAAATTAATAAGATATGTGTTTTGAAAACTTGTTTTAATGTTAGTAATTTTTACATGGTACCCACTTTTCCCCCTTCCTCTGGGTAATACATGTGTATTCAATTTACAACTAATGTAAGTAATCTCAAAATAGAGTACTGCGTATATTTTCTTTATTCAAAATAGTTACACAAAAATGGAATTTGGATTTTGAAAATAATATCTTTACTCTGATGGTGACGTCACATGTCTATTAAATTTAATACTACACCATTAAAAAATAACGAATGTTGTTAAAGAACTACAAGTAACTTGTAAGCAGAACTTGGTTGCCTTCTCGCCTCAGCTTGAGTACGAGCAAGCACTTTTTCATGCTAGTAACTAGAATCATATTAGATTCAATATGTATTATCATTTAATATTTACTAGTTCATATATAAGAGTCAATATTCGACAGTTAGTCTTACTAGAATTTTCAACTTGAATGTCATCTTATGAGCACGTGGAATAATGTCGACTAGGCCAGAAACCCTATGATTTAGATATAGTTGTGTATATGTGCTTTGTCCACATCCCAATGAACACTAAACATTAACTGCTTGAAACCGAACGAGTCAGTGATGTTTGGCATAGATTCTTGTTGAGATGCCTTCCAGTGTCTCAGCGGTAACTCTGCAGGTTTACGACGGTGAAATTAAGGTTTCAATTCCCGTGGTGGACAGAGCACAGATAGCTAATTGTGTAGCTTTGCGTTTATCAACAACCAAACCGAAATTAAATTCGTTGAAATAAAAATTATGACTTTATACAATTAATTAATTTTTCCAAGCCCGTTCCCTTGGCTGTGGTTTGATAATAGCCTTCAAATTAAGTGATACACTAATTTGTCGTTATGTTTTGAACACCATGTCGTTTTTAGTCTGATGTATTTTCAATTGTAAGATTTTAATTGTATAACAAACAAAACATAAATGGTAGTTTCTTGGCAAATATAAACCTGGACTATAAGATGGGTAGAAAGTTCTAAAAATAGTTTATAAATATGTTGTTTGCAAGTGAGATTTCTCAGTAACTAAAGTTGTAAAATTGTTTTTATTTTAACATTATACAAAATAAGTTTTACAGAAGGATAAAATATCAATTGTAAAATATTTTTCAGGTAGAAATTGGTGAAGTATTATTTTTACATAAATTTTGTAATTTGGTATGCATTTGACTCCTGCAACTGTTAATTGACATCACTAGATTTACATCACGTTGTTAAGTTGATCACCTACGTGTTAGAAATCTTTAGTCCTATTCTTGGCTTTCTTTTTTACCTTTATAACCTTGGGGAAACATAAATTCTTTTAACTGATGTCACCAAACTTATTATTTATCTCGGTACAATTGAATGCTTACTTTCACTAGCAAAAACAAATTTGCCGAAGATGTTTGCTTATGCATGACTGTAAAAGCCAGGAGGATGTACCAGGTGGAAAATTTGCTTCCATTAATGTTTATTGAATAATCTTGGTTTTTTTTTACTAAATCTGTAAATTAAGTATTGAGAAAATGTTCTTTTACATTTATTGGCCTGTTCTAGGTGGAAGGTTTTGTGACTTTGTTAAATCGAAACAGGTGTGATATTAGCTTGGTTTTTATATGAATTTATTTAACAAAGCTGCCATAACATTTGTAATAATTGGAATTCTGGTGAATGTTTCTGTTTTGATTGTTCACAATAGCTAGACCTTTTCTTTTGAATTCAAACAGTATGTTAAACAATTGTGTACCTTTTGTTTCAATTGGAAACATAGGAGTCTTGGAAAGCACGGAAAACATCTACAAATACCACATGCAGATACAACATGATTCTCCTCAAACTCCTTCTCCAACAACAAAAGCTATTATTTCACGATCGTCTGATCATAGTCGCTCATCCTCACGCAGCTCCCAGCAGTGGAGTACCATTGGAAATGGAGAAACTGTTATTCAAGTTACTAGGCAACAAGATGTCACAGCTAGTGAGGATTCCAACAAGGGGCAGTCTGTAGTGAACAGTGTTAAGGATGAACCAACAAATTAGGAAGTAAGTTGTCGTTTTTTCCTGAAATCATTTAAAAATTCATCTTTAGGCTTTCTTCTTTAGATGGTACTTGCCGATCTAAGAGAATGAAAAAATATTTTAGTAATTACTGATTTGCATCTTCCTGTATCAATTATTCCTGTAGTCCTAACTTTTTTGGCCTTAGCAATTCTCCAACAGAAAGCTATTGTTACGTATCTGCTTGTTTGTTAATTTCTGGTATAAATTCTTTCTGATGAATTTCAGTAATACAAGTCCCTTCTTGATTAAACCAGTTTATTCTTCCTCGATACAAACTTTTAGCACACAGTAATTTCACAATCAGTACCTTTCTCGTCACTTTAAACTTAACTACTTTTATAAATCACAGCAATCCACAATCTCGAAAACACACACTAGCTCGAAACAGAATCGTAAATTACCCGGAACTCTCTTCATTCATTATCATCCGCTGACTTTTCTTGCCAGGCTTATATACTAACAAAGAGGCTTCAACAAAATTTGAGGAGTTCCCTGATAATTCGAGAAACTCAGTCACGCGTGAGCGAGCAGCGTCACGTGACTTCCGCTGTCGTAATACTATGTAAACAATGTTTTAAAAACACAATACCACATCATTAAAGAGTTTGAAAAATTAGAGTATCGTCGTTTCTAACATATTTTTAAAGAAATAACAAAAACTGGTAAGTTAGAATTTAGTGATGTCTTATGTCAGTTGAAGTATTTTACTCTGGTTTCTTGTCATACCCTCTCATCTAGAAGTTAGCATCTGGTGTTGAAAAATAAAAAACGTTAATGAAATAAAATGGAAAGTTATATCAAAAAGACAGCAAGAAAAAATAAGAGTTGAGGGTACATCTAACTGTTGGAAGTAAAAACGGTCTGTAATTAATTTATATTAATATCTGATAATAAAATAGAAATGAATAAAAACTCTATAATAGGGTTTTTATCCATTTCTATCAAGACTTCTTGAACCTACTTCATAATAAAATAGGAAACAGTGGAGATGGGTCTCACATATGTAATTAATTTTATTCAACCTTATAATGATAAGATACAAAACAGTGGAGATGGGTCTCATTTATATAATTAATTTTATTCAACCCTATAATGATAAGATACAAAACAGTGGAGATGGGTCTCATTTATATAATTAATTTTATTCAACCCTATAATGATAAGATACAAAACAGTGGAGATGGGTCTCACTTATAAATAATTAATTTTATTCAACCCAATAATGATAAGATACAAAACAGTGGAGATGTGTCTTACTTAAATAATTAATTTTATTCAACCCAATAATGATAAAATACAAAACAGTGGAGATGGGTCTCACATATATATAATTAATTTTATTCAACCCAATACTGATAAGATAGTAAACAGTGGAGATGGATTTGCTGACAAATTAATCTGTATCAAGCCCTGTAGTGATAAGATAGTAAACAGTAGAGATGGATTTGCTGACAAATTAATCTGTATCAAGCCCTTTAGTGATAAGATAGTAAACAGTGGAGATGGATTTGTTGACAAATTAATCTGTATCAAGCCCTTTAGTGATAAGATAGTAAACAGTGGAGATGGATTTGCTGACAAATTAATCTGCATCAAGCCCTGTAGTGATAAGATAGTAAACAGTGGAGATGGGTGTTACTTGTACTGTTTATTTATAAATTAAGAAACGGTGGAGGTGGGTGTTACTTGTACTGTTTATTTATAAATTAAGAAACGGTGGAGGTGGGTGTTACTTGTACTGTTGATTTATAAATTTGAAACGGTGGAGGTGGGTGTTACTTGTACTGTTTATTT